ACAAATTGTTAATCTTGAAAAGGCGTCTAAACATTAGTTCCCTCACCTCAGACATTAGCCAGAGTTCATTCTTTAGTCATGTCATAGATTGTTACAAGTAAAATCTAAACCATGGCTAATGTCAACATTAGCTAACATTGACCTTCCCAGCTATATTCATTGGTTAAAGTCCAGAAGGTTTGTGAAGATAGAACTTACATAAATTATCTGAATAATTTAACAATTTGTTTCAACAGATTCTTATCAAGTGTCCACTGTGTGCTAGGTGTTGTGCTATAACATCAATATGCTTTCTCCATATTTAATTTTTTAGCTAGCTCATTTGATTCATTTCAAGATTATCTTAGCACTTACAACAGCACTTAGCACAGTGCTCAGCACCTAGTGGGCACTTGATAAATGCTTATTGGCTGACTGATAATATCGTTAAAGTTGGCTTTAGTTAAATACCTGCCATAATTTTCTCATATGTAGGGATACTACAGTGTTGGAGGCCTGATGGACACATGTAGGTTAAGTGTGATGTTGTTTTCATAGTCTTCAAGGAGGGGGGGTTAAAGTTAATGGATATGATTTGTCATATGGAGGATAAACTATGATGGCATTTATTCTATCAGTTGGAGGATTCTGTTTGATGCATTTGGGATGGTGTGTGCAATATTATAGAGTCATAAGAATTAGGACAGGCAAGATGCTGCAGCAGAAAGCACATTGGATTTAAAGCCAAAAGGCCCGAGTTTGAGTCACAGTGATGCATGTGACTTTGGGCAATGTATTACACCTCCCTGGAAATGAATTTCCTTATATGTAAAGAGATTGAATTGAGCTCTAAATTTTCTTCCAGTTTTAATCCTATGATCCACGTGACAAACGCAGAATGAAAGACAGTATTGACGCTGAGGATAAAAAGCTACTTCATATGTGACTGAAGCTAGTCTGGATAGCTATAGTTAAGCAGCAAGGCCATTTGGGTTTGGAGATGACTGAGAGTTTGGGGAATACTTTGACCCAGACTCTACTGAGGGCCAATTGTAATCTCCAGGACTACATGTATTTACTATGTGGTCATTTTTCCTGAGCATCACAGTCTTTTCTCTCCACTGCTTTTTTCTTAAAGGAAGTGTTTTCAAAGTAAACAAACAGATTTGCTTACAGTGGAATACACTGGAATAGAAACTTCAATGAAAATAGAGATTCAGGGTTTTTGCCTCAATTTCCTCACCTGTAAAAATGAAGATAATACTTATATTAATTCACAGAGCTATTAGGAAGAAAGTGCTTAGTGAATTGTAAAGCTCTAGAAATGTGAGCTGTTATTGGGGGCAAGGGGGGCATATTGGTTTATTTACTTCATTTATACTACTTTATTATGATAGACCGTGCTACATAATTAAATAGCATCACCAGAAGAATATTAGTGTTTAAAAGTCGTACTTTTGTGTGAAAGAGCAGCTTGGGATTGCCAAAAGCACTGTGCACATTTCCCAAATGCAATCTAGTGTGCCCTCTTCCTCCTATTCAATTCCCTCTTCCTCCCTTTGAATTCTGGACCTAGCTTTCAGTCCATCTGCATTGCCTGTCCAAGATATATGTTCTCATTCAAAAGGCTTCCTATCCGATCAAAATGGTGATTGACCCAAAGGGCAACGAGAGATGCATGGTAGGAATAAATAGGCTGAAGCACATCACTAATGACGCCTGTAACAATTGGCATGAAAGACATAATACAGGAAGTGTGTTATCAAAAAAGAAGGTCAGTCAGACATCTAGTGAAAGCCAAGGATGGATAGCTTACGCGCCACACTGATAACCAAAGAATGTTCAAAAACCCAGAATACAGCTTCTTAACCTGGGGTCTTTGAACCTTAAAAATAATTTTTATTTGTATTATCTTATATTTTATTATATTTCAATATAATGGATTTTTTTTGTAATCCTCTGTGTTTTATTTTGTGTGTTTAAAGACATGATTCTGAGAAGAAGCCCATAAACTTTACCACATTGCCAGAGTCCCATATTACACACACACACACACACACAGACACATACACACACACACATACATACACACATTAAGACCCCCCAGTGTGTTGGGTAACTTCTATAAGGAGGAATTATAGAAGGACATGAATAATAAAGGATAAAGAAACACGGATAATTTACAATCTCTACCCTCGAAAGGAATGCCCACCTAAACAAGATCGTGGCTCCATTAATGTTATGCTACCTTCTTTTTAAGTAAAAGATGAGACTTGTAGTGGGTTTTTTTTTCCCCCAGCTCTTGCTACTCTCACAGGAATAGCCAGAACCCTGTTCTATCTCAATGGTATCCTCACGTTGTTGAAGACGCAGGAAGGAACTCCAACTTCCTCTACTCTCTGATCTTCTTTTTGTTTTGTCTCTGCTCCTGGAGCCTTCTTTAATGCTTCTTTCCCAGTGTGCCATTATGGACATCATTTTTCAAACAACTCTTTGCTGTTTAGTCAGTCCAGGCTTTCTAGACCTCTGACGGTTGAGTCTAAGAATAAGAGAAGTTTAGTATTGGACATAGTTTGCAATAGCACTCTTGAGAGAGAAGCAGAGCAAGCATTTGCTATGAGTAATTACTTATGGTGATTCACTGCTTAGAAATGGCATTCAGGAATGAGAAGCCATTAATAGGTATACATTTTAGTCATCCATTGTGAATGAAGAAGGAAGCACAGGGCCTGTTGTCTTAACCAGAGCCTAGCATGGTACATCCAAAGCCTGATAATAAGTGCTTAACAAATGTTTTTATTCTATTGAACCTAGCAATTTTGGTGAAAATCTTTTTACAAGAAGCTAAGGCTGTTTTTTACTCCAGGAAACTATTGCCACCATTGTGTATTAGTCAGCTATCTTACTACTGCAAAATGAATGTAGGCTATTAAATTAATTTTAATTTTTAAAGGACAACAGCCTCACAGGTTTTCAAATTCAACTGCAGAAATATAGGGTGGGAGAGGTGTGGCTAAACAAAAGGTCAGATGCAAAAGATTGTGGTTTTGGGTGGCCTGTAGGCTCTATATGAGTCAACAATGGGATGTGGCAGCCAAAAAGATAAAGCAATCTTTGGCTGAATTAAGAGAAGTATCATGTCATAAGGAAGGTGATAGTCCCACAGTGTTCTGCTTTAGATCATGTCTAAGTACTGTGTTCAATTCTGGTTACCAGATTTTAGGAAGAACATTAACAGACAAGAACTTGTTCAGAGTAGTATGGTACCAAGATCGAAGTCCTTGAGACCATCCCATAGGAGGATAATTTCAGGAACTGGAAGAGTCTAGCTTGAAAAGATAAGATTTAAGGAGATGGGGTATGGGGAACATGATGATTATCTTCGTGTATCTGAAGGGCTGATGTAGGGAAGAGATTAGACGTGTTCTTCCTGGCCCTGGAGGTTAGAAGTGTATGTAAGCAAAAGGTAGAAGTTGCAAAGGGGCAGATTTTGGTTCAGTTTAAGGAAAATCTTCCTAACATTTATAGCTTTTTAAAAGTGGGATGGGTTGCCTTGGGAGGCAGAGGATTCTTCCTCACTGGAGGTCTTCAGGCAAAGACTGGATGACTTTTGTTCAAGGCTTTGCTGGAGGGAGTTACTGCTTGGGTACAGGTTAGATTAGATGACCTTGAAGGTCCCTTGCAATGCTAAGATTCTATAATTTTTTTTTAATGAGAGAAGTATTTGTAGAAATTTCATTATCAATTGAAATATATTTTAAATTAATTCATATTTCATAACTTTTCTTGTTGTTCAGTCACGTCTGACTCTTCATGATCCCGTTTGGGGTTTTCTTGGCAAAGATAGTGGAGTAGTTTGCCATTTCCTTCTCCATAACTTTTCTTGGCTCATCTTTTAAAAGAATGAATTATCCTTCATTTTAGATAGTAGATGTTACCGGAACACTGACTTGCAAATATTTAGAGAGTTTACAGAATTTATATGAGGGAAGACAGAGATAAAACATTTTAATTAATTAATTTGATAATAAGATAAAACATTTGTTTTATCTTACAAATAGATAAAGTATTAGACTTGAATTCAGGAAGACCTGGGTTCAAATCCTGCTTCAGATACATACTAACAGCATGACCCTGGGTCTAAGCTTTGGTTGCCTTATCTGTAAAATAAAAGAAATGAAAGCACCTACCTCATGGAGGATCAAATGAGATAATATAGATAAAAGCACTTTAGAAAACTTAAAGTACTTTATAAACATGAACTATCACAATCTTCATTGAAAAATCACATAGGAAAATGTTGCCATACTACCAGGAAAGGACCTAAAGCTGGACCTGTGCTCAGACATTTTAAATGGGTCCCCAGAAAATTCAGTGAACTTTGTGCTGGAAAACTGCTCAGTGCTAATAATGCTGGTGGGCCACGGACAAAGAATGGACTGGTTTTATAAACCTGTGTTAGTGCTAGGCTTCCTAACTCTATGTCCTCTATATAGGGGATATTCTCTATCCCTGTGTCCATGAGACACAAGATTTGACCCCAGGTAGTATTCTAATACATACCAAGTGCTTTACAAGGGGGATTTTATTCATTCCTTCACCACTATTCGACAAGTATTTATTAAATACCTACTATGTGTAAAACACCAGGGATTAAAAAAGAAGGGAAAAAGCGGACATCTTCCCTCAAGAAGTCACTGTGTTGGGGCAGCGAGGTTGGTGCAGTGGATAGAACCCTGGCCCTGGAGTCAGGAGGACCTGAATTCAAATCCAACCTCAGATACTTGACAACTAGCTGTGTGACCGTAGGCAAGTCACTTAACCCCAATTACCTCACAAAAAAAAATCACTGTGTTGTTATTGTTTCTACAGAAAAAAATGAAGAAGGACTGGCATAGTAGTCAGTGTATTTTAGATGGTGCTTGATGCATTTCACAACATAAATGCCCCACTGCCCACCACAATGAAAACTTTTTAAAAAAATATAAACCAGTTCACCATTTTAATTTCTTCTTTTTCAGTTACTTTAGAACAGTTCTCCTTAGCAGTGGGGAGCTGCCCTGTTCGGGAGGACCAGACTTTGTTAATGAAGGTAGGTTATCAGATGAAGTGCTTATTTTCTTAAAGCCTCCTAGCATTTTTATTGCTCTGAGGATAGTTTCATTTTACAAGAGGGAGTAAATTTATCATCTCTGAATTTTTACACTCTGTGGGGATAAACTTGTCATCGACGAGTAGGAGGGTTGCTGGTTAATGAGCTCTACTGCTGCCTGTGGAGTTCATGAGAGTGACAGGAAAGTGGTGGTCAGATACTACCAGGGAATTTGTTTAATTCTCCAGAGATCTCAGTTGGTTCTATTTAAACTAATCTGACAGAGTCTTGACTTTTTTTTTTAGCAGATTTATGAGAGCTGGCCATGTTTTATGTCTCCTACTATACTTTTTAATTAAGGCAAGGGTTTGAGTGTGTCCCTCATCCTCACTTTTGTGTCAGCAATGAATTGCTAATACAAATTAGGCTATACATATTACCAGTGGAATTGTCTCTGCTGAGGGAAAGCATGGCTTTATTCATCCTCAATCACAATTGTTGTTGTTGTTTTTAAAATTTTCTTCCAGATTAAAAAAAGAGCAAAGTTCTATTATCACCAACATTTAAGTTACATGTAAGGCTAAATGCAAAATATGGAAGTGTTTGTCCAACAACACACATGAGTTAATTAAAGCTATACCTTTGAATAGTTTGGTCAAGCACAGAGAACAAAGAGAAGCTTGCATAGGAATGCAGATGAAAGTATTAAATGGTTATAGATTGTAGCAGAATCACACACACGTCATAATATTCATTCTTTACTGCCAATGGCTGACACTTCCACTGTCCCCAAGATATTATATCTGCCCTTACTTGGGACATAAACATTTAACTGCTGACAGTTCTAACATTGTACTATTAGGAAAACACTGCCTCTGCCCATCAAACCAGGGGCTAAATCCTATAATCAAATACTAGTAACTGTGGGAAATAAAAAAAAAATTAATGAAAAACAAAGGAATATCTCTATAAGTGGGTTTTAAGTAATTTGCCTGAGATAAGGTATTAGGGGTCTGTCCATTTTAAACTTTTTAACTTTGAACACACCAGCAAATATTGGTAATACTAAACCTCTACATTTATGATGATATATTTTGAAGCAAAGATGTACAGGCCTTAAGTACAATGTTCATTTCTGAAAATTGGGCCTATTTAATAGAAGACTGGGTAGCTAGGTAGTGAAGTGGCTAGAGAACCAGGCCGGGAGTCAGGAAGACCTGAGTTCATATTTGGCCTCAGAGACTTACTAGCTGTGTGATCCTGGGCAAATCACTTAACTCAGCTTCCTCAACTATAAAATGAGCTGGAGAAGGAAGTGGCAGAACAGTATTTTTGCCAAGAAAACCCCAAATGGGGTCACAAAGAGTCAGATACAACTGAACAACCACAACAACAAAATGGAACACCATTCTGGGTTGGCCATACCTACATCAAGCAGGATCCACTTAGAATCCAAGAAGGTCCATTGGAAGCCAAGTCCCCTTTATCTGGCAAGGAAGTCGCCCAGCTTTACTCAAAGTTTAAAAGATTCCCTACACTCTTTGTCTGTGACCTTGGACAAATTACCTCACTTCTCAGGGCAATAGCTTTCTCATTTGTAAAGAATGAAGAGTCTGACAGGATCCCCCAAGATGCTTTTCAGCTCTAAGATCCTCTGACCTATCTCTCAGTTACTCTTTCAACACATGAGGCCAAAACTTTCCACTCTAGGTCAGGGATTCTTAACCTGAGTCCCTGAACTTTAAAAATAAGGGGTTTTTTTGATAACTTATTTCAACATAATTTGTTCCTTTGGCCATCCTGTTTATTTTATGCATTTTAAAACATTATTCTGAGAAGGGGAGGACAGGATTCACCAGCCTGCTAAAGAGGTCTATGGCACAAAACCAGTTCAGAACCTCTACTCTGCATAACTATTATCTTTCTGGGGCCTAGAATTTGCTGCTGGGGCATCTGGACAGCCTTGATTCAGATCTGCACACATTCTTCTAGGCAACCTGGGCCATGAGTGTCACTGACTGGCAGTTGTTAGTAACATCATGCCCCTCCTTACCATATGTGACCTCTTCTTTTCTCTTTCTTTCCCCTTTCTCTTTATTTCACTGGTTTTTTTTGGGGGGGGGTCATTCTCTCTTAGCTTCTTCATCTCCTACTGTCCCATTCCTCATCTTAAGCCAGCATGATGTAATGGATAGATCCTGAATCTGAAATGAGGAAGCTGAAATTCAAAATCCACCTCTGACATTTGCCAGTTGTATGACTGTGGGCAAGCCACAGAAGGACAAAATTTGAGAGGTGTAAAGTCCAGTCCAACCCATATCCAAAGGGAATCCCTAATGTAGCATACCTGATAGATAAGTGGTCATCTAGCCCCTGCTTGAAGATTTCTGTTGAGGGGGACTCACCACCAAGTCACAACCTCTCTGAGACTTTAGCTTCCTCATCTGTGAAATGGACTTAATAATACTTGTCATACACCTACAGCCTTGTTGTAAGGGTCAAATGAGATAACACATATGATGTGTTTAACAATAAAGAGCTATGGATATAACAGGTATCATTATTTCTCATTCTCTCTTAAAATTTTCTTCTTCTCTGCTTACTCATTAGGACTTTCAGGAGCACACATTCACGTTGCTTAATCCCAAAGGTGTTACCATTTAGGGGTAGAGGGTTTTCTGACCCCTGCTTTAAATTTATACATGGTCATGTAGAGGAGGCCACAGGTAGAATGTTGGAACTTGCAAGGCCAAGTCACTTAATTCCCCTTAGCTTCTGTTTTCTTATCTGTAAAATGGGGACAATAATGCTTTAATAGTTATTCTGTAGGATAATTGTGAAGCTCAAATTAGATAATGTGTGAAAAACAGTTTACAGACTTTAAAGTGCCACAGAACTGTCAAGCATCATGGTTGCATGACAGGCAGCATATTGGAAGAGAGCAGATCACTGTGCTGGAACATGGAAATGGGCTTCTAACCATCAGTTAATTTTATGGCATTGGACAAGTACCGTCACCTCCCTGGACCTTTGTTTTAGAATTTGTAGGAGGAGTACCTCAGACTAGGCAACCTGGCCCATGAGTGTCACTGACCGGCAGTTGTTAGTAACATCATGCCCCTCCTTACCATATATGACCTTTTCTTTTCTCTTTCTTTCCCCTTTCTCTTTATTTCACTGCTAGTTGGTCTCCTTGTCTCAATTTCTCCACTCAGCTGTCAAAGTAAACTTTTTAAACCTCAGGTCTGACCATATCTCTCTTCCTTTCTCCTCTCTCTCTCTCTCTCTCTCTCTCTCTCTCTCTCTCTCTCTCTCTCTCTCACACACACACACACACACACACACACACACACACACACACACACACACACACACACACACACATATTATTCAATAAACTCCAGGGGCTCCTTATCACCTCTAGAATCAATAGGGTCATGAAGAGTCAGATACGACTGAACAACAACAGAATGGAAGACCATTCTGGGTTGGCCATACCTACATCAAACAGGATCCACTTAGAATCCAAGAAGGTCCTCTCCAGCTCTAGATTTTGATCCTAAATGATTCTCTGCTTGTTGATTCTTAGACTGTTCCAAACTGACTCCATGCTGACAACTTGGTTAGCTGAGAAGAGCTAACATTCACGTAGCATTTTAAGGTTCTCAAAGCACTTTACAAATATCAGTAAGTCAATAAACATTTATTAGGCACCTACTACATGCTGGGCACTATACTAAGTACTAGGGGTACAAAGAAAGACAAAAATAAATAAGAGAATGAAAGAAAGAAAAAAAAGGCCAAAAAGCTCCTAAGGAGCTCATAGTCTGACAGGGGAGACACTATGCAAAGAACTATGTATGAAGAAGATATATTCTGGATAAATTGGAGATCATCAACAGCAAAGGCATTAACATAAAGGGGAATTGGGAAAGGCTGCCTTTAGAAGGTGAGATTTTAGCTGGGACTTAAAGGAAGCCATGGGAGCTAGAAGATAGAAATAAGGAGGGAGAGAAAATGGCTGAAGTCAAGAGATAGAGTATCTCATGGGAGGAGAACAAGGAGGCCAATGTTACTGCATCAAAGAATACTTGGTGGAGATGGGTGGGTTATGAGAGTCTTTGAATGCCAAATAGAGGACCTTGTATTGATTCTAGAGGTGCTAAGGAGCCCCTGGAGTTTACTGACTATTGTGTGTGTGTGTGTGTGTGTGTGTGTGTGAGAGAGAGAGAGAGAGAGAGAGAGAAGAGAGAGAGAGAGAGAGAGAGAGAGAGAGAGAGAGAGAGAGAAAGGAAGAGACACATGGTCAGACCTGAGGTTTAAGAAGTTTACTTTGACAGCTGGGTGGAGAAATTGAATGAGTCTTTTGAGACAAGGAGACCAACTAGCAGGTTATTTCGATAATCTAGGCATGAGGTGATGAGGATCAGCACCAGGTGGTGGCAGTGTCAGAGGAAAGAATGGAGTGTAGTCAACAGGCCTTAGCAACAGATTGGATATGGGGTGTTAGAGAGAGTGAAAAGTAAAGGATGACACCTGGGTTGTAAGCCTGGGTGTATGGGGTACTCAGGGAGGACTAGCCCTTCTCAGGGCTGTTCATCCATCTTTGGTGTTCATTTGTCACCCAGCTGTCACCTGTGGCTCCAAGAAGCTGCAGCATGCACAGAAGCCATACTCCGGTATAACTGTCTCAGCAGATGGGCTACCCCAGGTAGAGGATAACTAACAGATATCAAACTTGTCAGTGAATTAGGGGGATATCTACCCCCAAGCACATGAAGACCTCCCCGCAAAAGAATGGGCAAATGAGAACAACTTGTTCCAACAGTCACATAGGAGGCTGAACCAGGCATTGCGGAGGGCTTAGAACTTAGCAAAACATGGGAGACTCCAAGGCCTTCCACTGCATCCCAGGTCATTGCTAGTTGTTTTGACTTTTATCTTTCCACTGGTCTTCTATGAATCTGGACTAGATAGAGGCAATTTGGGCAATTCTACCT